CCCCCCCCCATTCCCTTCCCTTCGTCCCCTTTGCGCCTGACTCCACGTGCAGATGTACCAAGACGCCAGCCTGGCCCGGCTGGTGACCGACTCGCATGATGACGCCGGTCGCCACCGCCTGCTGCAGCCTCTGGGTCTGTCTCGGCGCCTGACGCGCCCGTGGGCCCGTCGCGCGGTCACCTTCGAGCGGGATCTTGGCCATCGTCTGGACCACAAGGTGCGGGCCCCAGTGCATGCGCGTGTGCTCCCGGTGCCGCGGGCCCTCATGCTTGCGCCCCGCCCGCCGCCCGCACACAAAGACCACCCTTCGCGCCCGACCTCTGACCCTCCTGCCTTCCTGCCTGCCGTCCGCCCCTCTCCACACCACCCGCTCCGGGTGCAGAACGTCTGGAGCACCATCCCCATCCTCCACGTGCGCGGCCGGATCTTCAACCGCAAGAAGACCAGTGCGTCGTGTGCTTTGCTCATGCCCCCGGGCGACATGCCCGCCCTGCCGCCGCCCCCCCCCCCCCCCTGCCCCCCCGCTCACCTGTGCCCCCTCCCCACCCCCTGGCGGAAGTCCTTTCGCAAACCAGCCACCGTCGCATGTCCAAGGTCATCCGCCGCAGCCAGGCCATGGGGATCCTGCCCTACTTCTCCAACTTCTACCTGCAGCACAAGGAGACCTACATCCATAACCCGAACCTGTTCTTCGAGATCGCCAGGGGCGACGGCGAGATGGACGCCACGCTGGAGTCCTTCCCGCACCGCTTCGCCCGGGTGTTCGGCCAGCGCCCGGCCGAGATGCTGTACGAGCGCGACAGCATGAGCAAGTTCGAGATCCCGCCCGAGGACCCGGACTGGGAGGCCAACATGTATGACACCGGTCAGAATTACTCCGGCGCCGACAAGAACTCCATCATGGCCGGTGCCTTCTCCGATGGGGACGTGGGCCCGATGAGCGACTAAGTGCGCCGCGGCGTGTGCGGCGCGCGCGCCCCGGGCGACACAGAGGGCCGCCCCCGATAGGCGCCATGCTTTGCCCCTCCCCGCCCCTTGGCACTGCTCCCGGGAGATGGCGCGCGGGGGGCGCATCTCCCCGCTCTCTCTCTCTCTCTCTCTCTCTCTCTCTCTCTCTCTCTTTCTCTCCCCCTGCTCTGGGGCCTTTTGAGCCCTCGTCTCCGGTCAACACCGCCGACCATGGAGAGCGGGCGGGGGGAGGAGGGTCGGTGGCTGGCCCGGCCACAGGCATAGCTTCGTTCACTGGGTGGGCCGCGCGGGGTCGGGGCTGGCATCGCCTCTCTTCCGCTCGCCCTCCTGCCGGTGCTGCTGTCGCGAGTCGGCGAGACATCTCATCGGGCAGCGATACGCACCGGCGCGCGCCCGCCCGGCTGCCCCCCCCCCCCCCCGCCGTTCCCTCTGCTGTCTTCTTTCTTTTTCTCCCTTGTGAAATGCAACATTCCCCCTCCAAATATACCTCCTCATAGACTAGACGCATGTGTGCTCGTGTGTCTGCACGCGGGTGGGCGGAGTCGCCCGGCTGACTCCCCCGCGCCTGTGCCCTGTGTTGGGCCGTGTTTTGGTGGTCCTCCCTTCTTTCTCCCCTCGCCGGCCCGCCGGCCGGGGGCGCCGCTTCTCCTGGCCCCTCTGCCCGGGTGTGTGCCTTGCGTGTGCTCGTGGCTGGGGGTGGTCCCCCGGGCGGCCTCCGGCGGCCGGAGGCATGCCGGCCCGCGGGAGCCGGGTGGGTTAACCGTCGCATCGGGACAGTTAACCCCGGCGCGTGAGGCCCCCAGCGTCATGGCGTGTCTTGGCGGAATGGTTTCTCGTGTCGGCTCGCGTGATCCTCGGCGGGCGTCGCTCGCATGGGCAAGGGTTCCCCCCTCTTGCCAAGGGGGGCAGGGGGGAGGGGGAGGGGGGGGGGGCCGCGCGCGCCCGTGCGTGTGCGTCTCCCCCGCCCCTCCCGGGAGGAAAGCGCGCGCGCATGCGGGACCGCGGGGGCAGGCGGGCAGGTCTCATCTGGGAAATGGGAGTTGGAACGGGGCCGGGCCGGGCTGGGCATGCGCCACCTTTCGCGCCTTCCTCCCGGGCAAAAGGCGCGCGCGCGCGCGCGTGGGGGTGCCTATGGACCCAAGTACCTGGCTGCCCCTCGGCCGTCCGCGAACGGCCCCGGCCACCGCCGCGCCGGGGGAGGAGGGGGGGGGGGGGTCGGAGCGCGCCTCTGGCCGGCGGGAACGTCTCCCCCCCCCGGTTGACGGTGCCCCTGTGCGCGCCCCTTATTACTGGCCCCGGGGGAGTATATTCGGCTGATCGGGGGGAGGGGGGGGGTTGCCCCAGTTGGGGCAGGAACCTCATGCTTTTGTCCCACACCGAGGCCTGGGCGTCCTGCGCTTTTTTTTTCTGCACCCACGGTCAGCCAGGCAACAATCCCCCGGGCCCGGGGGCGGGGGCGAGGGGGGGGGGGGGGGGGTACACGACAGACGGGATCCTTCCGGATCCTGGGCGGGCGTTTTTTTTTATTCCGGTCCCCGGGGTGCCGGGAGCAGCATGTGGCCCCGGGTGCGACATCGGGAGGGGGCCCGCGAGCAGGCGGGCGGGGCCTGACCGGGGGCGTCCTGCTGGCGGCCCTTGTCGTGCTGCGGCTGTCGCTGCTGCCGGCGTTGGAGCTGCCGGCGCGCTGGTGTTGCTGCTCCACTGACCGGCGGGGCGCGGCTCCCTTCTTCTTTGGCGCGCGCCCCCCCCCCTCCGGTGGTGCACATTCCACCTCGGGGGGAAACGACTGCGCCCGGCGCGCCGGGGCGCACACGGTCTCAGAGCGGCAGTCGGCCAGGGCTGTCGAAGGGGCGCGCGCTCGCCGGTGCCAGTGCGCCGGGGTTGAATGGTGTTCTGCCGCGGTCTGCGGGACTCCTCATGTAGATGAGTCATTCGGGCAAGCTGGCAGCCCGCGCCGGGGGGGGAGAGAGAGAGGGGCCGGGCGGGAGGGGGAGCGGCCGGCGGCCCGGGCCCCCGGCGGCGTGTGTGCGTGTGTGCGTGTGTGCGTGTGTGTGTGTGTGTGTGTGTGTGCGCGTGTGTGGAGGGCCCGGCTCAGGTTGCTAGTTGTCATATGAGGCTGTGCTCTGCCTGGGGGCGAGGGCGGGCTCGCCGGGCCTTGCCCGAGGCCCCGGCTCGCCGGTCCCGGTTTCCGCCCGGCGCCCCCCCCCCCCCCGCCTCGGGCCCTCGGGCCGGGCGTGGACGCTTTTTGGCGGTGCCCGTGCGCCGCCGGCGCACGGCACCCCGGGTCCCGGTCCCGGTTCCGGCGGCGGGGGGGGCTGCAGGCGCAGCAAGACGCGATTGGCTGGCACATGGCGGGGAGTCGCTTCGATTGCCCGGTTGCCGGGCGGGGGGAGGTGCGCTTCTGCTCCGCGGGGCCCGGGGTGCCCTGGGCGGTGGCGCGGCCGGGAAACGACACCCGGGGGAGGCCGGGGGGGGGGGGGCGGGGGCGGGGGCCAGGACTCGTGCGCCGGAGTCGCCTGCTTTGGATATTGCCTTCATCTTCATTTCGCTGGTCATTCACAACACCCCGTGCGCTGGAGATGTGGGAGGGGGTCGGATTCCCGGAATCCCCTGGTCCGGGGCCCCAGACACCTGTCCCCTTGGGCGCCTGTTGCCGGCTCGCCGTCTCCCGGTGAGTAAGCGCCGGGCCGCCGGGCCGCCGAGTTGGGCACCGGCGCGGGGCAGTTGTCGTGGCCCGGACCCGGCGGGTTTCCCGGGCCGGGCCCGGGGGTAGGTGGGGGAGGGGGGGGGGGGGGGGAGGCTGCTGCGTGCGCGGCGAGGCGCGGGCGGCGCGGGCGGCGCGGGCGGCGCGGGCGGCGCGGGCGGCCGGCTTGCTCCCTGTCCCGGCCCCTTGCGCCCCCGGCGCCCGAGCCCCTCGGGCAGGGATATTGCCCTCATCTGGCCATCGATCTGCGGGACGACATCTGCCCGGGGCGAGGGGGGGCGGGGCATGGGCACGCTCGTGCCGACGCGCATGCGGGCGCCGCCCCGGGGAGGCCGCCGCCCCCTGTCCCCCCCGGGTTG